GCTGGCCTCTCAATTTAACCCTAAGAAACAAATTAATCCGAAATGAGCCATTCTCGTATGTCCATCTTCCATCGAAGTGAAATGAGTTGGAAGTGGGGACGCTTCCATCTGAAGTGACGCCCAACAAGAGGGACAATAATTACTGGCTGAACGGTTACGCGAATCAAGGCTCTTCCAAGAATTAGGAGTCACTGCTGACGCTACATATCAGCCTCTACACCCCTCTGCTGTTTAGTGCTTCAAAGCACATGAGTAGTTGCTGTATAGTTACACTTTATTTGCGTACCTAATTTTTGTGGTTCTTTTGATTTTAAGAACAAAAGGTAAGCCTAATAATTTCGCTGAATAGCATTAATCAATTTTTCCTGGTAACTGAGATGAGATGTGTGTCCTTCCTTGGCAGCAACAGTACACTTTCAAAACATTAAACTCCTTCGATATATACGAGTATAGCTTAAATATATGTAGGATCAGAACTCAAGATAACCTGTTGGAAAATATTTATGCAATGTGCACACGGCAGCGAATATATAACAATTTTGCCTTTCAGCTTTGTCAGCAACCCTTCACAATGCAGGCTTCATAGTAGCTCAACATCTTCTGTAATCCTCCGAGTAGAATCGAAGATTTGTAAGGGAACTCGTGGCCTACTGAAAGTATTATTGCTCTCTGAAAGGGAATTAGTGACCTTCTGAAGGTATTACTGCTCTCTGAAAGGGAATTCGTGACCTACTGAAGGTATTACTGCACTCTGAAAGGAAATTCGTAACCTACTGAAAGTATTGCTGCTCTCTGAGAGACAATTCTTGGCCTACTGAAAGTATTACTGCTCTCTGAAAGGGAATTAGTATCCTATTGAAGGCACTACTGCTCTCTGAAAGGAAATTCATGGCCTACTGAAGGTATTGCTGCTCTCTCAAAGGAAATTCGTGGCCTACTGAAAGTATTACTGCTCTCTGAAAGGTAATTAGTGACCTACTGAAGGTATTACTACTCTCTGAAAGGAAATTTGTGGCCTACTGAAGGTATTACTGCTCTCTGAAAGGAAATTCGTGGCCTACTGTAAGTGTTACTGCTCTCTGAAAGAAAATTCTTGGCCTACTGAAAGTATTACTGCTCTCTGAAAGGGAATTAGTTACCTACTGAAAGTATTAGTGCTCTCTGAAAGGAAATTCGTGGCCTACTCTAAGTATTACTGCTCTCTGAAAGAAAATTCTTGGCCTACTGAAAGTATTACTGCTCTGAAAGGGAATCAGTGACCTACTGAAGGCATTACTGCTCTCTGAAAGGGAATTCGTGGCCTACTGAAGGTATTACTGCTGTGGAGCCCTACCGCTGTACCAGCCTACTGGGACAGGAATAGTGGAATATCTTTCAGTTGAATATGAACTGTATTCTGATTTATTACTTTTTTTACTTAAAGATATCTTTTAGTCTTGAGTCGTGTTCAAATTATGTATAATGCTTAGTTATTAACGCTCCATAAAATGAGGGGCTGTTTTCTTTCGCTCATGATCATCCGGCCACTCAGTATTAAGCGATTTGGTGTTAACACAACGTTCTGCAATCTACAAGCGTCAGAGTTACGTTAAACCTATATTTCGTATAAAACCATCGAAAAATATTGGCGTATATATTTATATTATAATTTTAATAATGTTTACAAATCTTCTGTTTAGTCATTGTTCATTTCACTTATACATGCATTTTAAAATAATGAGTTATTATTATTATTATTGTTGGACGGGGTGGGTTTCCCCATGCACCGCGACTAATAGTCTATTGTACGTCCCCCTTTGATATTGTACCAGTCGCCATACCCTATCGGTACTGGTGCGTGCTATCAGCCCCGTTCAGCCAACGAGGTCGGCCCTCGGTACCCGATACTTCCCCCATCTACCAGAGGCATTGGAAACTACTTGGGCGGCAAACTTTTTGCCTAATTTTGCTCAGAGGTCTCCTAGAGACATGAGGATCTTTTACGTGCCGTAAATCTACGACACGGGACCCACGGCTTAAAGTCCCTCCCGGAGGACTTGTTCCCTGAATTTTTCCGCCCTTAAAAATTCCACGACTCCGCCGGGTTTGAACCCGCGTATCTTGAGTCATGAGGTGGGAAAAACAATGAATAACTTTGCATTCTTTTGTAGAAAAGTTACTAATAAAATGTTGCAATAACTAGCTTCATACGAGTTCTTTGTCAGGAATAACCAAGTTTTTAACAACGGAATGCCGAAATTATTGTTAATGTAGTTGACGAAACATTCTTTTCGAGTTTCCAATCCGTAATGTTGCCTTACTATTTTCTGTACTACTCTTTCTTTCCTTCCTTCCTTCCTTCCTTCCTTCCTTCTTTTCCCTAAACCTAGACTCTGTGTTTACCTTCATAGTTCCTGCCTCAGGAACTCGTGCAGCTCCGTATGCTTTTCATGACGCCGAGTTCAACGTTACAGCCCATTGTCAGAGAGTTACGTTTCTTTCATTTTGACTTACTTGACTCTGTTTTTTGTAAATTGAAGCACTTGTCAGACTTCCAAAATTTACATTGTCCATAAATCCAAGTGATTAATTTTCAACTGCGAGCCGTGTTATAAGGACATTCAAAGACTTTCAGTTTTGTACAAATTAAAATAAATCTACAAAGAGAAAAACTTTTATTTAAACTTCTGGCCCGTATTCTGAGAGAACTTGATCCAACACCGAACCCGATAATCCTCGCACTTCCCATTCCCGCCATGTGCACGCATGCGCACTAACCATCCAAGCGCAGCGGTTACTGTACTGTTACATTAAGCAGTACTTCGCATTTTGTTCACAGACTGTATTTATCGGTTTTGTATTACTCCAGTATGGCAGAGATGATTTCCCGGAGGAGGAGTCATCGAGCAGTCTTTGTAATGAAGACGCATTGTCTCCTTGCTTAACTAATTAGGCACTACGCCATGAAGACGCATAGGCGAGAAAATATTCTTGACCTCGCAGCTAGATGGAGTCGAGTGGTTAGCTTCACGTCCCGGCCGACTTACCTTCGAGGAAGAGCCTCCAGTACCCTTTCAATAGGGGGCTGAGTGGGCCCCAGAATCGGTCTGGACGACATAGGAAGGAGAAAACTTTCTTCTACCGGGATTCGAACTGCGACCCCTGGGCCGTCCAGTCCCTAGCCAGACACTTTATCGACTGCGAGGTAGGAAGTGACCTTTTAAATAATATTTAAATTAATTTCAGGCTTTAGAGTGTTACTGTATGTGAATACTTCCTCCAAATCGCATCACACACATTCATTCAATGCTAAAGACAAATTCTTCAGACACCGATAGAATAGAAAAGTCACCTCTATATATATGTGTGTGTGTGTGTGTGTGTAAATCGAAAAGTCTTTACCCCTATTTCTTTTCAGCCAAAATATTAGTGTGATTGAGTAACCGGGTTATAAATTCGATGCAACGGGGTATGCTTGGACCGGCCCAGCTCTAACTCTCGGCTGCTCCGCGGCACTGCGCCGCTGTCAGTCGGCGAAGGTGGCTGGTGTTCTCTACACGTCCACGTCGTATGAGCAGCGAGATGTTATTCGTTTTCTATGGAGCAAGGGACGAACGCCCATTGAGATCCATAGGCAAAATGCAGCCGACATATAGGAACAAAAGTCTCGCTTTGAGAAGTGTGCGGTGGTGGTGTTGTGAGTTCATTAATGGCAGGGAAGACCTTAATGACAATGAGCGGTCGCACCTCGCTCACACCGGACAACAATAGCGGCATCTCCAAACTAGTGGTGCGATGAGGCAAATGCCTTAACCGGGGTGGTGACTATGTGAAAAAATAGTCAGAGGTGCTTAGAACGCTGCCTGTATTCTGATTTCCCTGTATGTGTATTATTGTGGCTGAAAAAAAAATAGGGGCAAAGACATTTCGATATATATATATGTGTGGGGGGGCACGCGGTAGCATGATTGGTTAAGGCATTATGCTACAAGCAGGAAGGTCGCGGAATCGAATCCGAATGAGGTGGGCTTTTTCAATTTACTTAATCCTTCCAGCTGCACTATGGCCCTGGGGTCGACTCAGCCTCTAACAGAAATTAGTACCAGGAATATCCCTGGGGGTAAAGGGCGGACAGCGCGTAAGACTAACAACCTCACCGCCATCTGTGAGCCGATTGTCTAGAAAATGTGGGAACCTCAGCATCTCACATCCTCTTCTTCTGGGATCCATTTTACTCGTTTTCTTTACTTACCTCATTCCTTCGGGGTTTCCGACTGAAATTCTGTAGCATTTCGAATGTACCATACATCCCATGTATGCCACCCCTTCAAGTTTACCCTACACACCCTAGAATATTTGGGGTAAAAGGTAAAAAGGGTAAAATTTTCCTTGTGCTTAACTTATTAAGCACTACGCCATGAAGGCTTATGGGGAGGTGGATGTATAGATCCAAGTTTTCTTAACCTCGGTACTAGATGGAGTTGAGTGGTCAGTTTCATGCCCCGACCGCTTTAACCCCGGGGAAAAAGCCCCCGCTACCCATTGAATAGTAGGCTGGGTGGGTCTCAACGACGTGGAGGAGTAAAATTTCTTATCCCCATCGGGACTCGAACTCTGACTCCTCATCAGTTCAGCCCGTAGCCAGTCGCTACACCGACTGCGCTACCCCGGGTCTATAATATTTGGTGTCGAGTATAAATTATGAAACTCCTTCTCGTCCGGCAGCTCTCTCCAGCCTTGTCTTTGTTCCTATAATCAATTAAGCATATCTGAACGCACAGAATCACAGCAAGAAATTCAGCAGGCTGGATGACCTGGTTTTGGTGCTTTGATGGTAGGATTTGAAGAATTACGAAGATGATACGACACCGACTGTCATAATATTCAGATAGATTTTCAAACACACCGAAAGTTACTCTGACTCAGGAGTAAGCTGACGTAAGCTAAGGGGTTAGTGGAAAGTAAATGGTACATGATTACAAAAATTAAACCACTGGAGCCGCCGAAATGCAGTAACTCACCCACGCCTTGCCGAATAGCTTTTCGGCTATCATCCGAGTGCTTTCGAACATGTCCGTGCCGGGACCAGAAGCGATGCAAAATTCATTCCTTCCCGAGCACGTACTGCTGTGCAAATCGCAAGGTCGTCCACTGAACTGACACCGAGGCCCTCTGACGTTAGGCGACACGTCCCCCAGGTTGGTGGCCGCGAAAGCGGCGACGAAAGGACCCTGTAAAATGTAGCATGTGTACATGATCAGTTCAGTTTTCTGATGTATTCATAAAACAGTGCATTAAAACAGATCCTCACATCCTTCACATGTTGACCTTTACGTCATCAAGATATTCTCGTCTGTTATGAAACTGTATCTTCATCACCGTCGTCAAAAAGCTCGTGACTGAATATATTGGGTCTGTGCCTGTGTTTTAGGCACCACGCTATGAAGACTCATGGGGACTGGTCATAAACTCCAGCCTATTTTTACTTTCTCATGCTCGTAATATATATGAGGAAGTATTCTGACCGTGAGAAAGTCGATCCAGAAATTTTGACGTCTTTTATTGGTTTTGAGACCCCCTGAACGAAAAGAAGTGTTGTGTGTGCGTGCGCGTAGTCTGTCTGCCTCAATACAAGAGCATGTAGGCGCGTGGGCCTAGTTACCGCCTGTGCGGATCGACGGGTTTTATTCTTGTTCAGTTTACATGTTACAGGTCGGTGACCGGCGAATATGAAAATTCCAGCTCCGAGAATTGAAACAAATCGAATGGCGAATTTCTCGAAAATCTCTGCAACGATTTTCTTTGGGTCTCGACAATTTGTAGACGCCGTCTTCCTAAATACAACAAACCCTTGCTAATCCGGATTAATGTCGCAAAAGATGGCCCTGAGAGACAAAAAAGTCTTAGAAAACTAAGAAATGGAGAACTTAGTAATGAAGGTAGTACTGATGGAAATAAATAAAAATTATTACTGCAGGACCTTTACTTAAAAACTGTAAGACAATAAACTGAAATCCACCTCAAGCCAATCAGTCTCTCCAGCTCCAATCCGCGAGCGAGGACCCAACGTGAGCGGGTGGCTGCGGTCTGCAGACTCTAGTCAAGTTCGATAGTACACGAGAATGTATTTGCACCACTTTTGAATCTGCGTGCTTACTCTTTACTCTTTATCTACAGTCTTGAAATGGGTTTGTCTTTTGTTATAAAGACAACTCCTCTTCCCTCACTCATTCAACTCCGTCTTTAACACAACTTAAAACTGTTCACAGTCTCTCTTTCATTTAAACCTACGCCTTTGATAAAGTCTGGCACAGAGGACTATTATATAAAATTAAACAGAATCTTCTCATCACTTATTTCAAATTGATGAAGTCCTACATCAACGACAGGGAATCCAGAGTAAGAATCAATCAAGCAATATCTATTAACTTTACTACAAAATCTGGGGTACCGCAAGGCAATGTAGTAGGACCGCTATTATACCTTCTCTATACGGCGGACCTACCAACGGATGATACCACCACAGGAACCTTTGCAGATGATACAGTCATCCTAGCAACCCATGCAGATCCAGCAAAGGCCACCAGTATTCTACAAAACCACTTAAACCAAAAACAAGCATGGCTACACAAATGGAAAATTAAAATAAACGAGACTAAAACTATCCAAGTGAACTTCACGCTAAGGCGAGAGCATTGCCCACAAGTAAGACTGAACAATAACAATATCCCACAGTCTCCAAGCGTTAAATATCTCGGAATCCAGATGGACAGCAGACTCTCTTGGAAAGACCACGTAATCAAGAAACGCAAACAGATAGACTTAAAAACCAAGGAGCTAAACTGGTTAATTGGAAGAAGATCCAACCTATCCATAGAAAACAAAGTCCTGCTCTATAAGACAACAATCAAACTAATCTGGGCTTACGGAATTGAGCTCTGGGGTTGCGCTAGCAAATCAAATATATCAATAATCCAGAGAAGCCAATCAAAACACTTCGAATTATAACAAATGCACCCTGGTATGTAAACAACCAAACGTTACATACAGATCGAAATATACCATACATCAAAGATGTCATCAGAAAAAAAGTACCACATACCACAACAAAGTAGCAAATCACCCAAACGACATACTACAGTCACTCGTTGAACTGCAGCACAATCGAAGACTCCGAAGACACTGGCCAGCTGACCTAAAGGAAAACTAAGGGGAACCTCCCACTGGGGAAGGGACTCGTCACGTCATTAAAGAGCATCACAGCTCTTACGCCAGCAAACTAGCTTATAGAATTGTACATTCTGACTGCTTAATAAATAAATAAATAAAAATAAACCTACATTAAAATAGCATCTATTGATACATGTTTGACCATACTTGGCCATCTTCAGGCAACTGTTCGTTTTTTAAGCTGTCGCACTGCATTAGGTCGTTAAGTCAATGTGTTTCCATGCTGTTCCATATCGCTGTTCACACTAAAATGTGTTTGCTTGCCTCCTTCGTGTGTTTGCTCTCACTAGTTGGGAGCATATTCCTTATATCAAAAATATGCAACAGCATGGAAATACACACACTTACGATCTAGTGCAGTGCGACAGTGGCAAAAAGTGAAGCAGTTGCATGAATATGGCCATGTATGGCCGAAACATGCAGCAATTAATGTGATTTTAATGTTATATTAAATTAAAGAGAAACTGTGAACAGTTTTAAGCTGCATTAAACACGGAGGTGATTGAGTGAGTGATACACCAACAAAAAAATATATGCGTTTAGTCCGCAAGCGAACTATATCGACCGAGCGACCGCCGCTTGTCGGCAAAGTTTAGTGCCAACTTTAGCGGGTAGAGCGTGTCGCGTGGTCAACGCAACGAATCCCCACGGCCGTTAATTTCGATTTTCTAGACCGGAGCCGCTACTTCCTTGAAATAGCTCCTCAATTATCCTCACGAGGCTGAGTGGACCCCTTCCAGACCCACTTCTCAGAAAATCTAATAGGCCCGGGAATCGAACCCGGATCTCTGGGTCGGTAGCCAGGAACTCTGACCACTAGACCACAGAGGCGGTCACATCAATGCAACAGGATGCTCTAATATAACATTACAACTCCTTATGTTTCTCAAGAAACAACTGCCAGCAACACAATAACAATACTCGTATAAGTGGTAGCTTTTCGGTACTCTGCTCTAAAGCTGAAACACAGAATCCCCCACTAAGTATTTCTCGCGTTCGGATAATAAAATAAATTTAATAAAGCGCCTGATAGTAACGGGAAGAGCAAATATAGGTGAGAACTGACACAAATAAAAATAATTACATCAGCATGGTTCAGGGTCTTTGTTGAGAAGTCAAGAGTTGCTCGCTTGCGACCAAGTTTCTTTATGGTCTATTTTAAAAAATTTCGCTGTAACCTACGCATCGGCCAGTGATCACTGTAGATTGTAAAGAGTTCGGATGATTCTGTCTAACACTCGGGATTACTGGGTCCAGTGACAGGCTGGCACTCTCTAACGGACCAAACAGAGTAGGTATCTCCCATCGCTTCACCCGACGAAGCAAACAGTTCTAGTTTCCAAAACGCCGTGCTCTTTAGAAGACCGGACGTAGGGTAATGTCCAAAACCCCTGTAATGACGAACTCTCATCTGATGTGTATTCTCGCAGTAGGATTACTAGCTTCCGTGAATGTCCACTGAAATATGAACCTCATTCTGAGTCACTGAGGTCCATTTCCGAGGGTGACATTACCTTGCCAATAAGTTGTCCTGGGTTCATACGCTGCTCAAACAAAATGGCAGCATACCCCACATTGTCGCTGGACACAAGAGTGTTGGTATTGTTCATGCTGGTTGGATGAACGGCGAACCAGATGATGGCTCCTATAGGTTTCCCGTCGTCCCGTACCAGCCTCAGTTGCACCATGGTCTTATCTACGTCATACGGATATCTGCAATGCAAGGGATGTTGATGTAATGTCCCAGTATTTACACAGACAGACTGAATCAGCTACCGGGCCGAGAATCGAAGCAGGGTCCCAACTGTTTAACTGCAAAATACGACTTAAATTTTTTCTATCATGAAATTTTAATAATGAGTTTTGTAATTTGTACTCTTCAGCTTTTTGGACTTTGCCCATCGTCCGCTATTCTAAAGAATAGAAACAGATCCAGTTTCTGAAACGCCGTGTTCTTTAGAATAGCTGACGATAGACGAAGCCCAAAACCCCAGTGATCCCGAATGTTATGAGCCATTGTCAGAACCCTTTAGAGCGATAGAACTTGACTGTGAAGCTTTCCCATTAGCCAGGCGAGAGCTGTGTGGCACCGTAACAGAGGGGGTCAAGCACATCGAATTTCTACTATCAGACATCACAATAAATAAACAAATGAACACTTTATACTCAAACAAAATCAACTGGTAGATATCTAAAATCTCTCCTGTTTCATTGTGAAATGCCTGTGCTTTAAAAGCAGCTCTTAACAGAAATTAACTTTACTGCCTTTGTTATAAAACAGCACGCGCAATAGGAAAACCTCGACGAACAACTGTTAAAACAAAAATACTGAGTCAATATAAAATTTTCCACTCCTTGAAAACGAGCAAATAATTGTCCTGAAACACATGCGTGTGTGTGTGTGTGTGTGTATGTGTGTGTGTGTGTGTGTATGTGTGTGTGTGTGTGTGTATGTGTGTGTGTGTGTGTGTGTGTGTGCGAGAGAGAGAATATTTTATTTATTTGCTGTAGGTCTATGGTGTATGTACATGGCACGAACTTTCATAAACCGAGTTCTCGGAATTCTTCGATCTGTGTGATTCTGTGAAATATTATGTCAGTCATGAAACAGAAAGCTTTAGATAATATATTTCATCTGATATAAAATTGTAACAGCTATGCAAATTATACATAGTTTGATGCTGGAAATGAATAGGCCTCTTTTACCGACTGCCGCATATACTAGGCCCACAGGCCTATATCGTGTTTACTTGATCTACAGAGTGGTTTAAAATTGCGTTTGTGCTTACGTAGGGAACTGGAAAAGAGAAGCTATGCTCTGATGAATAACAAAGGAGAATGGTGTAACGGTACGGTAGGCCGCACACCGGCATGCGTCAAGACATGTATCGTAACAGTCAAGATACGATGTCTGCGACATGACGCAAAGAAAAGAGCACAGTTGAGACGAATGAGATTATGAAAACGGCCGCACACTGGTCTGAGTCATGCTGCTGATGTCATTCGTTTCAATTGTGCTCCTTTCTTTGAGTCATGTCGCAGACACCGTGTCTCGACTGTGTGTGCGGCCTACTTAACTCTTTAGGATAGTATTCGTGAAGTACTTGGTTCGAATTTCAGCGAGCTTATCTGCTACACTGACTAAGAATTCTCTTCGTTTTCCCCAGCTTCTAGAAACAAATTCTGGAATTCATTTATTTATGGCTCTACAGCCCTCTGTTGGGCCTTGGCTGCTTTTTCGCTTTCTTGATCATTTACACAGTCGGTAGGATTCCTTGGACGGGGGATCAGCACAAGCACAGAATAAACGCACACAGACATCCATGCCTCAAGTGGAATCTGAAACTACTATCCCTGCGTTTGGAACGGGCGAAGAAAATTCATGCTTCAGACCGCACGGGCACGGGGATTGGCAAATTTTGGAATAGTTAAGTGAACTATAATATGATTGCTGTCCTTCTTCATATGATCACCTCCCTTTCCATTCGACGACATGTATCCTAACCTGTGCGTATGAAATGCGTTGTTAAATAACCTATGGATGTAGTGGTTCCGCCTTGGGGGGCCGGCAAGGATGTCCACACACATGCATACGGCTGTTATGGTTTCGCAGTATCACATGTGAACACTGACAAGAAGACTTCGCCGCGTCTAACGGAACTGTCCTGTAATGCGGGCGTGTGAGACGAAGAAAGCCACCGATCGGTAACGTCTGTCTCTACCTGCAAATCTAAGAAGTAAAGGCCATGAAGACGTCTAGGGTAGTCTATTTATGTATTGCTCAACGTATTCATGACCTCGGCATTAGCTGGAGGTGAGTGGTCAGCTTCACGCCCCAGCCGCTTCACCCTTGGGGGAAAGAGCCCCCGTCAAGTTAGAAAGCTCTAAACAGTATGCAAAACTAATATTCTAAGAAGTGCCTCCCGAATTTCCAGACGCTAAGAATCCTATACATATATACAGGGTGTTTCACGACTTTAGGGCATAACTGCAGGAGATGTTTTTTTAGGTCTTTGTGATCAAAAACGTTCATATAAACATGTGTCCGATTTTGGACGGTTACGGAGTTATGGCCGTTTTTTCATTCCCGTACACGCCCTCCAGTGAACCGCGTCTGTCAGCTGGCGGGTAGCTATTTTAGCCAGCTACAGACAGAGGGATCTCGTTATCTCGACACTTGAGAGGCACCTAAGACATGGTGGGTTGGTATGTCCGGCGCGGTTCACAACCGAGCGGCAGCCTGTGTTGCGGCCGGCGGTGGCATTTTCGAAAATTAGCTTTAAGCACCAATAAATTCAAATTAAAGATAATTTCACGAAGTTAGCTTTACATTCATACTTTAAATGTATCATGTATTATGCTGGTTTATTATTTTGTTCCGTTTATTGTCAGTAATCGTTACCTTCTATTCTGGGTTTAAAACGGTCTAACTCCGTAACCGTCCAAAATCGGACACATGTTTATATGAACTTTTTTTATCACAAAGTCCTAGAAAATCACCTCCTGCAGTTATGCCCTAAAGTCGTGAAACACCCTGTATATATAATTTAGATTTAGTAGGCTGACGACCTTACCGTCATCTATGAGCCGATTGTCCAGATAATGTGGGAGCCTCCACATCTCACAACCCAGTGGGCCTCCAGGCCTGTTACAGGGATATCTTTACCTGTTTTAGTAACGCTGTGACTTGTGCTCTGAAGCTGCCGGTTCGAATCTTGGCACAACCCGCTGATTGACCATTCGATTATTCGTCAAACTGAGGCGATGTTCTGAATTGTTTGCTGTGTTTATGATATTATTTTAATGTTTATCGTTTATTGTTTTATTGGATAAAATTATTAGGGCCTAAACTGATAGAGGGCCGGTCACGGTAGCCGAGCGGTCTAAGGCATGTACTGTCTTCGCTCGCTTGGAAACCGGGATCGTGGGTTCGAATCCCACTCAGGGCATGGATGTTTAGTTTGTGTGTGTGCTTTTGTCTGCATTTGTGTGCAGGTAGAGGCCTTGCGACGAGCTGATCACCCGCCCAAGGAGTCCTACCGAATGTGTAAGATCTAGAAAAACCGAAGTGAACGGAGAAGTTCATGGAGGTAGGGCTAGGCCCACTGGGGCTGTAGTGCCAAAGAAAAGAAAACTGATAGAGACAATCTATACTTTGAAATTAACATCAGCAATATAGAACATGTCCCAATAACTGAGTGGGTTACCACGCTTGTAACATGCCTTCCCTGTTCGAATGTCTCGTGAAGCACCGCACAACGAACTGAAGTTCCCTCTCATTAGTTTCAGACAAATATATCAGGATAGAATACATAACGAAATCTTCGCTGTTGTTACCTCATCGTTACATAACGAGGAACTGTATAATATTGTAACGTGTAGACCCGTTGCTTAGTAATGACTATAAACAACGCCCTCTGCTACACAACGACCGCGGAATAAGCTAATATACGGCAGCCGTGGCTGAGTAACGGCTTGGAAAACAAACACGCCTACAGAAACGATTGAACTACAACAATGAGCGGTGTTTTCTACACGGTCCATGCCAAGGAGTTATAAACGGAACAAGTTTAGAGTTTAGTTAGTCAATTATCGGGGCTGCAGATACGCGGGAGAGGAAATGCAGAAAAGTCGCAAGGAACACCCAAGAATACAACGGGGTGTTCTCTTCAAACCTCTCTACTTCAGGAGTGTCCGCGGCGGCTCTCCGAAGTGGCGGTTTTCCTCGGTCCTAGAGCAAGTGCTGAGTTGATACCCAAATTCCACGTTGCACTGCATGCCTCACATGCAGCCCTCCCATTGATAACATCAAAATTTCGCCTTAATATAGCCCTCCCAAAGTTGGCTAAAAATTTTACTATAATACACCCCTTCCAGCGTCATAAAAATATATTTAAAAAATCCGATTATATGCTCTACCTACACCAAAAGAACAAGTGGGCACTGCCTGAGAACCTTCTAAATTGGAGATATAGTTTCTTACGCCCCCCCCCCCAACGTAGTGTCTCTCACTCCCTCCCCCCCTACCTCTTATCCTTCACACACACACAGGAAAGTAGGCAGTTAGTTCTTCCCAGAAATTCTTGTTCATGTTGATATCAGTTATATTTACTTTCTTTCTTAAATACTGATTATCTTCCAAAAGTCCATAGGAGAGCATTTCCCTGGTGTACACCCCTCCACTTCTGTTACTTCAAATGTTCCACTCTTCCGAGGTGGCACAGAGCAACAGCAGTGACCTCAGATATGCCAGGTCCATCCACAACGGAACCGAGGGTCCCTGCAGCCTTACACCAAGAACAGACAACAGGTCAGTCAGTTTGGGCTCCAGATGAAAACAATTTGCCTCAAGACAATATGTTGACAGCAGTAACTGCAGTACAGCAAATTGTGGTGCCGTGTCACAGGAGGGCAATATGGTGACCATTACCAAAATTGTCTTAAAACTCACGAAGCAAAATAGCCAGTAGATTGCACAGACGGGAGCAACTAAAGATCTGTTTGTACTGAGCCTGGACTGAAAGGGGCCTTGTATACGTGTATACTGAGTATACACTTATGTAATAACAAGTAAAATGTAAAGGACAGACCCGTCCTCTCGCCAGAGAGGTCGCCCCACATCAACAAAAAAGCTAATGTTAGACAGAAATAAAAATCTGGTCCTAAGACTGGTCGACTGATCGTCGGTCGTAACATAACTTTGAGTTTAGTCAGTTGTGTGTTCACTCCCTGTGGAGGAGGGATCGAATACCTACACCGCAGACCTGCGAGTCGTAAGAACCAACTAAACTAACTCCGTGGTTTCAGTCCGCAAGCGAACCATACCCACCGAGCGACCGCCGCTTGTCGGCGAAGTTAGTGCCAACTTTAGCGGATAGAGGGTGTCGCGTGGTCGGCGCAATGAATCCCCAAGGCCGTTAATCTCGGTTTTATAGATCGGAGCCAGTCGTAGGCGGCGACTAAAATGTAACCCTGTGCCTGAGGGTGTAACCAGGTCACCCTGTTTCTGCGGGATACAAATACGGGGACCTGGCCCTCCAAGTTGGGAGAATCTGGAATCTGAGACAGTAAACTGTGGTCATGAGTCCCGCGGGATTCAGACATGAGAATGACTGCTCTGGCGGGGACCAGCAGCAATTGTAAACGACAGACCCATCCTCTCATCACAGAGGATGTTACATAAGGACTATGACGGCAAATGTCAAGTTGAAAAAAAAATACTGATCGTGAGTCTCGAGGGACTTGTCGTCAAGATGAACTGATTGGCGGTAAACCGCCAGTCGTAAAGTAACTCTGACTGTGAGTTTAGTTCATTTGTGGGATATTCGCATCCGATAAGGACGTTAGCAAAGGGCATTGTTAAGATCCGCTACCAGTAACGTTTAGTGAAGAGATGGAAGACTTTACGTGTGCTGCTACAGTGATCTTTAGAGTGTGTAAACCAGTGAGGCCGTTGAACGAGTAGTTACTTACAGTTACGAACTGTGTATAAGTGTTCAATAAATCCAATCACCAATCCAGTCCCCGTCTACAGTCACACTCACACACGTGAGAGTATTATGGAAATTTTCAGTGGCTACGACCGATTGCAACGTTTTTAGAATTACGTCCCATGAGACTACCTGCGATTGTGCAGTCTTATGTTTCTCAACCAGGTGTATGTGGGCCACTGACAGTCCACGAATTCTGTTGAACCGAAATTATTCTGTTTGGCAACTAACGAAGTTTCCGTTTCGTTACCTTGCGGCCACTAAGTACTTGGTATCGCCTATTTCGTCTATTACATCTCTTCACTTTCAATAATCACGAAAAGGCGTTAATTAATCTGTCTTAAATAAACATCTTTAGAATTGTCAGTAAGAATTGCACGACTGTGTGTGCTGCGAAGTGTGAGATGACTATGCCTATTGGCGAACGGCTCACTGCTGTTGTGCCAGGGAAGGCTAACAACCACTGACATAGTCAATCTGCGTGTTGTTAGACATCGAAGTAAGTGTATAATGAACCTGGGATGAGAAGTATGAACCTTACTTATGAGCGCATTAGTGTTGCATGCTGTTAAGCTTCTTGGTCGCAAGCGGAGCTTTATCCTTCCACCCCTGCAACGTAGTGGCAGCCTTGTGGCTTAGCTAAGTTTTGCGTTACTCTGCAGGAGTTTGTCTTCTCGTCTCGCCTCTCTGTTTAGCTCAGTCGAAAATCATATATTAAGGGTTTACACATTAATAAAATATTACACTTGGGTATGGGTTTGTATGTCTGTCTTTGTCGTTTCACATAACTTGGAAATCACTGCTGCCGTTGATGTGTCGTTGTTCCTTGGGAAACGTACCAGCTTAGACGTAGCATTAATAAAATGTTTTCGATAACGTTGAAATCACCTTCTTAAGGTAAAGCTGCCTTATTCGTTGGTGTTATTTCATTAGGTTTCATCTTTACGACTGGCATTAAGTTCTGTCGACAACATTAATAATATCGTGACATGTAAATCCATTACTAGGCAATGCCCGAGGCACACACGCGGCCAACAGTACTGGAGCGGTGTTCTGTGTCCGCGGTGGCTTCACACAACAGTAGGCAACAGTCGTGTGACGTGTTTTCTCAGGTCCGTGTCGAGACCGTTGCTAGGCAGCGGCCAGCACGCCAATAGAGTGGCTGGGTAGCGATCACGTGACATGTGTTTTCTGTGCGTGGTCCGTGCCGAGAATGGAAATGGGAATTTAGTTCAGTTGACCGTAGGAGATAGCAACGGGGTGTCGTAGTTGAATTAGAATTCGGCCTGTGAAGACATAGCGTGTGATTAGAAGATTTAGTCACAGTGAGACTGTTTTAATTCTGTTACCAGATTACGAGTAGTGAAGACTGAGAATCTTAGTGCGTGTGTAACGGTGAATTGTAAATTGTGTAAATCAGCGACAGCGCTGTACTAATTGTAATTAGGAGTGACTGTGACCGAAGTACCAGTAAAGCCAGTCATCCGGTCTAGAACCCGTTATGTTCGCCACGCGTACCCCCTGCATGTGACAACATTCTCAGTTAGTCGGCCCATACACGTACGAGTCTGGCTCGCGAGTCCGGCTCGGCGAGGAGCCGGGCTGGGGTTATTTTTACCACACACGTATGGGCGTGACGACCCACACACGGACGAGTTTGGCTCATTGGAATCCGAGCCGAGTCGAACTCGCGAGCCAGACTCGTACGTGTATGGGCCCCCTTACATATTGACTGCCTCAGGCTAGAAGCGGCCACTATCCAATAGGTTCTCCCATCCGAGATGGACGTCCAACCCCAGTAGGAGGTTGTGACCTAACTGATATAATAATCCTAGGTATACTGTGTAAAACTGAAGATTTGTGGTGTGCTATTCTGGGTTATGACATATTATGTAGTCCCTCAAGTTAGTACTGTCATTCCTAAGGAACATGCTTTCTCCATCTTCGGGGAAGTATATTCCTCGGAAACGCTGATATCCACCTACCAGAGCACAACGCAGTATCATAATTCAGAAGACCGTTATGGGAAACTAACTATACTAGGTGAAGTTATATGTCACTACATTTCCACGCATCTTTTATTCTTCACTCACGTGATGTCTTTTGGTTTAAAACAACTGTCTGAGCATATAACTTCCAAATAATCGCAGTTTATTTTCTTCTAAGTAAACTTACTGCAATTTTTTTGGAAAGGTATGCCATTTTAAAGTGACGTCACAGAAAATGTGACGTAATATCGCACGCAAGTGAGTGGTCTCTTGTTGATGTGACGTACTTAGCACGTTCAGCGGCCGGATTAGCCAGGTATGCTGTTGGACTCCTGTTGATGTTCACACCCACCAACTCCCCTTGCGTCACGTACACCCTCCCGCTGCTCATTGACTCGTGAGCTCGCCGTATACTCTGGGAACACAAACATAACCTTCGTGTCAAGACAGTATTACCCAACACCGTGGCACGCATGAATTATTCAGCCTGTCAAGGAATCCCCTGTTGTTATGTAGCTTCATCACAGTCACTACTAAAGCCCGTCACAGGATATAGCCTGAGCTATTTCAATTAATTGCGCATTTAGTCACCTTATTCCTCTAAAATGCATTCTAATGTCGGGCTTATATTTCATTCGTTTCTCAGTATTCCAAGGCTTCTCCTCCTCTAAGGTTTCCCAACTAAAATATTGTGCCCATTTCTTATTCATGTGCCCCACCTACCTCATTCTTCTTCATTTCATCAGCCTAAGAGCACAATGCTGGGAGTAAAAGTAACCAAGCTTCGAGTTATATCTCACAGTTTCTCGGTTAATCTGTTAATCCGTCCAAACACTCGTGTTATTTTCGCAGTAAAGGTAAAGGTAAAATTGTCCCTGTAACAGGCCGTGGAGGCCCATAGGGTTGTGAGAGGTTGAGGCTACCACAGCTTCTTGATAATCGGCTCAAAATGGCGGTAAGGTTGTCAGCTTCAAGCGCCGGCCGCCCTTTAGGCCGCAGAAAGATTCCTGGTACTCATTTCTGTTAGAGGATGAGTCGACTCCAGGGCCATAGTGCGGCTGGAAGGATTAGATTGAAAAAATATCCACCTCATCGGGACTCGAACCCACGACCTTGCGGCATGTAGCATGGTTCCTCAACCAACTACGTTGCCTCGTACCCCTTCTTTCCGAAGTACCGAACATATCTTCTCTCCTCAGACAGAAAAGCAGTTTCGCACTGCTATTACGAGGTCAATTAATATTCATATTAATATGACGCCATCCTCGGGGAGGATGACTGAACCACGGCTGTGTCTTCGGTGGGGACGTATCATAGACCAGGCATACGTTGGGACACAGATTTGGGACACCTCGTGGTCCCGCCGGGCAACGACAGTCTCGGGATCTGGATTAGTATGACCAACTGGGAGTGGCGGCTAAGTTCCCATAAAGGGCAATGGCTATGTGACCGGAGCCTCCCATGCGGTGGCATAATGACTCTTGGGTTTCAATACGAGGTACCCAGGACGAATGCGAGAGAGCACTCCTATGGGGGTAGCTTCGGCTACTTGAGCTATCTTCCTAGAGTACCGATAAGGTGCCGCAAGCTTTCGTGCTCAACACTCTAAAACGGTCTGACCAACCCATGTGGAGGGGTGGGAATGGGGAAGCTCAGAAGCAACCCCCAGGGGCGATAATATCATGTAGGATGCCCCGGTCGCAACCTCATGACTAACTGGTGTCGCATTTTAAATAATGTTCAACATCTTCTAAATACATCTAATGAATGTGGGCTTATGGAGGTTTGTTTAAACAATCAATGTTTCCACAGTCCGTGAATAATGCAACAATTGTCTATTCACCATTTAACACTTAACACAACATGTTTCGGCCATAGATGTCCATCTTCGGGTTTCTTAACGAATCCAAACATCGGAGCTGTGCAACGGTTTGGATGCATTAAGACACCTGAAGATGTCCATCTATGGCCGAAACATGTTGTGTTAAGTATTAAATGGTGAATAAACAACTGTTGCATTATTGACGGAATGTGGATAAACAGACGTTTAATTATAAATTTGTAACAGTATTCTGAAATACATAATTGTTTAAACAAGTTAACATTAACTGAATACTGCAATGATCCAAGTATCTCTCACGCAACACGTTATCCCATTTCTTGTCCGGCAACTTCTCCATCTCTAGTGACAAGCGGGTAGTCTATGCAGAAGAATCCTGCGCTTTCCACAGCTTCATATACCAGACATCATTTTGGGAAGGCCCCCACGTCTTGGACGGCTACGAGTCGTTCTAATGTCATCTGCGTGCAAGGGTACAAAACAGGTCCACTGGACATCAACTGATAAACGCGGAACGGTGTTCCAAATACAGAGTTGATATAACACGGTGACTGCAAAGAAAGGGAATGCAGTTACAGGTAGTTCCGGGGTGCTGGAACGGGAACTTGGGGAAAACGCAAGAAATCTTTGCATGCTGCCATTTCCATGCATTCTTCACCTTTCTACCTTCTTACATCTTCTCCTTTCTTTCTTTTTCGAACATCATAACATCTTTTTTTTATTGCTAGTGGGGTGGGACTAAGTCCCTTGTACTGCGGCCACTTCTGGCCTATTGTACCAGCCCCAGATGATAGGTGAGGGTGATTATGGAGCAATTTGTGGAATGAAGATTGGCAGGGGAAACCGAAGTACTCGGAGAAAACCTCCCCCAGCGCCACTTTGTCCACCACAAATCCCACTTGACCAGACCCGGGATCGAACCCGGGCCGCCGCGATGAGAAGCCAGCGACTAACCGCTTGAGCTATGGCGCGGCCCTTCGCAACATCTTAAAATGTATAATACTGAGCTTATGTCCTATCTATCATACGCAGGCAGTAGGCTCCAATACTACTATCAGTACCGTCGCCATTCGCCGACTCCATTTGCACTTTACGCCAGGCAGTGGCTCCATCTAAGTATGAGAATTTTCGGTACCAAATCGAACGTTACGATAACCGTGTTCACTGCTGTCCAGTTTACTCAAATCGTACGGTTATCATAAAAAAAAGTGAAATCAAAATATATATATATATATCTACTGTATTTCAATTTTATTTCTCACAGCTGGCGTTAAAATAGGCTCCTATTCGCGAGTTTGCATTACAGCCCTGCACGCATGACTAATAAGCTCTATGTATAAAACTCACATCAGAATTCGTGATATCTCGATTTCTGATGAAAATTAAAAATATCGATTATTCCAGTCAGCTGAGTGTTTGTCGCATCTGGTATGGCGTGGGACTAAGTTCACGTGTCTGGTGTAGAGAGATTCGGCCCATTCTAAACTAAATTTCGGTCGATTTACGGGCTGTTCAAATCGAAATTATCTTAATACATTACGTCGAAATGACACACGAGACCATTAGAATGGAGTCTGTAATAGAAGCTGCTGAAAGCGAGAATTATTTGTTACAGGCACTTTCCAGAGGGCATGTGGTAGTGTAGTGGGTTGAAGCAGTGTGTTACATGCCGAAAGATCGCGGGTTCGACTCCTGATGAGGTCCTTGGATTTTTCAATTGACCTAATCCTTCCAGCCGCATTATGGCCCTGGGATGGACTCAGCCTCTAACAGGAGTACCAGGATTCTTCGTGAGGGTAAAGGGTGGATGGCGCGTGAGGCTGACAGCCTCATCGCAATCTGTGAGTCGATTGTCCAGATAATATGGGAGGCTCGATGTCTCACAACCCTATAGGCATCCACGGCCTGTTACAGGAATTGCTTTACTTTACCTTGCAAGCACTTTCCCGTTTATCGTTCAACTTACGTATATGCAAAAATGTTTTCAGAAATATCGCGGAAGTCAAAAGTGTTTCATATGTGAGTTCTCTCAGATTTTATTGTTGTCTTCAGACACAGAGCGATAAAATGCAAAAATAAACAGGAATCCTCAAACGAGCGTGTGGTGGCTGCTTCGCTTTAAAGTCTTCAATAATTGAAGAGATTACCGTAACTTATGTGTTAATTATTATAGAACTCTGTGATTTCCATTACGTAACATTCGCCAGAAATAACCTCTCTGTTTTTGACAAGTTAACGTATTGTAAAGAACATTTTAAAATTATTGCGTGCTGCTTCTACCCCATATCCCCACACTAAGCTGTTATTCATTAGTTACTGCTATAATCGCTAGGAATAAACTCGGACACTCCAGTATTCTGCGCACTGAGGTTCTCACGGCCGTGACTACGAAGGCCAAGAACTTCGGGGTTATAACACCGTGTATTTCGGAGAAACCGCAACTTTCGGCCTGGTTCTGCTAATTCCTCGCTTGGCTTACTGTTTGACCCTAAAGTGGAGCTGATATATGTGTATTCATTGGAAAAGTCGGGCCCTCTCCGAAACACACGGCGTTAGAGTGCAGAAGACCGTATTATTCATACCTCAGGATCATTTTGCCGCTGAAGATGACGATGTTGGTTGACATTCTTTCCGACTGTGTCCACACAAAGATTCCGTGTGGAGAAGGAGTAGAATTCCTCTACCGTAACCCTGCGAGTCGTAGGCAAAGGTACCTGGGGGTATAACTGGGCTACCCTGTGACTGGGGCACATAAATACACTGACCTGTTCCCTCAGGTGGGGCGGAAGTTGGACGTAAGGCTGACGACCTCGCTCCGTAAAAAGAAAATATTGTTGCGAATTCAATGGAAGTGAAAACCAGACGGTCTGTTTCACAACAACTTGGCAAACTAAATATGGACTTTAAAATAGGCACATGGAATGTCTTATCGTGATACAGGCCTGGACGAGGTGTTACAATGATGCTAAAGCTCTGGGGGGGAAAGCTGCAAAACCCTAGCCAGCAACAGACAAATCTGACAGAAGCTTCTGAGGAAGGCTATGACCCCAAAAGGGGCTGTTTTGTTAATGATAATGAACCAGACAAATATAATAAAATTTGCATGATTTCAGGTTTTCACGGCGGTGACTATGAAGAAAGCAGTCTTCTGGGATGTGGCGCCGTGTATATATATTGTGCTAACCGACGTTTCGTAGGAACGTATCGCCTCCATCTTCACCTGCGTTTACTCGACTGGACTTAGTCTGTTAGCACATGCTCATGCGGGTTCTCCGCTCGCGGATTTTTTTCTTCTACCCTGAAAATGGAGGCGATACGTTACTTCGAAACGTCGGTTAACACAATAGATACACGGCGCAACATCCCAAAAGACTGCTTTCTTAATCACAAAATTTGTTCCCGAGAACATCTGCACTCAGTGCTTGAGGATTTCCATTACGATACACTTTTTCTTGTGATATAGAATGCCACTTACTATGACGATTCCTGACAAAAGTGCCATGAAGGTTTGGCGCACGAAGCCAAGTACCGATAGGTCGAAGAGCAGGTTCTGCATGTAGCCGCCCGGTGTGGAGTGGGTGTGGGAACCGCTGAGCATCAGGTTCTGCTCCGTGTACACATCTCCGTACAGCGACTTCAGGCGCGCCAACACCTGCGCAAAAACATGTGCAGTAGGAGTAGTATGTAAAGCCCTTGGGTATGTTCCGCTGCCTCTCTCTTGGATTTGTTACAGTCCGTCCAGAACTGTGGTCATAGTAGCCAAAGGCTTTGGATCTCGTATGATATTTGGAGGAGCTAAAAAAAAGGCCAGACGAGACCTCAGGATAGTGGATGTTCGGGCCAAGATTCGAAGCCGGCACTACCTGTATACAAATCAAAAGCACTGTCGCTTTAGTCAACTGTCTCTGTCACTCCGTGAAGTTTTGTAGGAAGTTAGCAACGTTTTGGATGAACGCACTACATGCAGCTTCGTGTTAGCAGGCAGTAGTTTTCTTCGAAACGCTGGTTAGCTACCTACAAGAATGCACGGCGTCATACCCTCACATGAACACAAAAAATCTGTTCAGAATGAAGTTGTGTCTTTCTTATTTCCTTGTATTTTTGTTTTTCATTTACTTTCTTCATTTTTATTTGTTTGTTCCTGAAGTTTCATTTTTAGATATCAATTACTGCTCTTAGGTACCCAGAATTACATAGCTTTTTGACTTTCTTTATCGTCCGGTATTCTAGAATCTAGGAAACACAACGTTTCGGAATCCGGATCTGTTTCCGTCCTCAGGTGAGTGGGGAGACAATTGCTTTGCTGGGTCCCTTAGAAAGAGCTAACCTCAGTCCAGTCCAGTTACTGAGGTTAGCTTTCCTAAGAGACGCAACAGAGTACGTGTCTTTCCCCCCC